TTACAGTTACTGTGACTACACCACACTAACTCAGCACACCAGGTAAGTCTGACCTGAGCAAGGACAAAGGCTGCAATGCTCAAGACCTGGTGCATCCACAGCAGTGTGAACAGACCAGACCAGTTTAGGAGCTGAGCGGTGTTCACACTGGAGCCAGGTACAGGGCGCTGATGCACATCAACACAACAAGAGCAGAATAGTGTGTCAAGGTCTGGAATGTGGACACAGAGTCCTAACATCAGAATTGTGGGGACCTGGTCGTGATTTGTGAGCAGATCATGATCCACATAATTTGATGGTTTGTCCCAAGAGAAACAACCTGCACAGGTCATTTCCGCTGCTTTTTTAAAAGATGTTTTTGGTTTCTTGGAGAGCAGTGCAACTCCCTGAAAACGCCTCTAACCAATCAACCATCTGCGAGCACACAGATCAAGACAATCCTCCATCAAATGGTGTTTGTGTTCACCTAACAAATGTAAAGCTTCATTTTGTGACAGTATATTTGTCGACAAACTTTTTCCTATGACAAAGACCAGAAGAAACTGTCATGAGACAGCAAGTCCATACAACAGTGCATATGACTGGAAGAGATTAACATGGATTTTAAAAACCAAAACTTTAACTGCTTTAAAAATCCCTGTATGTTTTCAGTGATGAAAAGGAGACACTGCCGCATTTTTCAGAGGTGTTCCTAATATTCTGAACCCCTCACGTATGTAAATGGGGGATAGCCTACAAAATGCTCACATCTTCATTGTCTTTCATGGTGTTTCGTCAGATGATGAATGAATTCATCAGTGTAAATAATCCATGTGTCGTTTGTCCGGCGAGGGCGGGATGTTCAGTGCATCGGTATGTCATCATCACCATGTACTTCATCTTTGCTTCTAGTTGTTCTCCGCTTCGGTCTGATCTTTCTCTACAGTAGAGACTCTGTTAATTAATGTTTTGGTGGGACAGTCTGACTCCTCACTGTCACACTTCTCCTGAAGTCTCTAATTAATGAACACAAATGACAGCAAGGGACTCATGATTAATTACAGCTCAGCATACAGCGAAGGAAACAGCCGGCGTCACCGTCGGACATCCAGCTGATATTTAGCTTTAATTGTGTTTCTGCTAATTTAGACCTGAATCCTGTTCCACCTGACTGAAACTATGACATTAAGGTGTGTAGCTGTCAAACAGAACAATGTTAGAAATAATAACTGCTTTGTAAAATGTATGTAGACTCCTCGGGGTTAAAGAAAGTACTCTAGCAGCTATAATCAGTATTTTTGTAAATCAACAGTGTATGAAATAATGTAGAAACAATGTTCAGGTGTCTGTGGTAACAACGAACCTGAACCTGCAGTGCAGCAACTCTCAGCTCACAACATTACATCTCAGTGTGGCCCTGGGAGCAGGAGCTGTTTGCAGACACTGCAAGAAGCTGCTGTCCACGACCCGCTCAGCAGCAGACAGAGCCAGTCAGGGACCAGCTGGGGAACAAAGTGGAGCGTTTAGTAGCTCCAGAGCCAGAAAGGAGGTGGTGGAGGCCAAACCCAGAACTAACAGAGAAGGAGCACTGGGCTGAGGCTCATCGGGGGGGACATGGACACACTGTGCATGGAGGGTCATGTTGCTCTGGAGCTGCTGGAGGCGGGAATAAGAAACTGATCAGCTGTTAGAAAAAAAACACTTACTATATAAATAAAAACATGTCAAATGTTGTTTACAGCTGGTTGCGCTGCCTCCAAGTGGCCAAACAATCTAATGCAAGGCCAGAAAAATGAACAGGGAACATGTTTGTGTGTTTACATGTTATGGTTTTGTTTTTCATATACTGTTTATAGTTGTTTAACCCAAGTCAACGTGGCGCCCAGCAGCTCTGGATTCAGTGAAGCCACTGTGTCGTACAAGCATGTTATGGTTGTTTTGTACAACTCTGGTGTGTTATGGATGTCTGGTCATGTGTGTTGTAACCAGTACAACCCCTACGATGGAACTGGCTCAGGACGCAAAATTAATTTCTGTGTAAAATTGGACAGTGAAGTTGCATCATGTCATTTGACCTCAGTCGGTATTTCACTGTAGACTGTTTTTCATTCTACCTTTTCTTCTTCCTCTTTCTTTCCCTTTTTAAATGTCAGTTGTACTTGTGTGTGGTCATGGAGCTCAGGCGGTGGAGGACGAGCTGTGTGTTCACACACTGACATTTTTACTGTCACAGTTGCCGTCTCTCAGCAACACACTCAAAGACCTATACGCATTGATGGCGCACAATTGTGTTTGGCACCAGGGAAGTGTTAACTGGCTAATCCCTTACGGCCGCCCAGACGCTGCCTGCTGCTAATTCACCGCTCTCCACAAACCGGCCAGTGTTTACACACCAGACCTCCGTCACCATGCTGAATGAAAAGCTCTTCAGCTGAACGGTTCTCCCTCCAGAAGAGCTGGCTGTTGTCCTTCCGTGTTTAGGGAACCTGCAGCAGAGAGTTGATTAAACTGAGCAGACACCAAGAGAAAAATGTGCTGCTGTCGGACACACACGTTAGCCCCTGAAGCATGACAGACTCCCCACAGCAGGTTCACTTTAAAGGTAGTGGGTCAAAATTAAACTATTTCCACTGTGAAGAATTTCTTCAGTCATCACATCAGGAATTTTCTCACACAGCGGTGTGAGCGAGAACAAACTGCTGAGACAGACAGTGAGTGCTGGTCATGGTGGGTTCATAAGAAAAAAGGCCCTGGGCACAGGAGGGGAAAAGGCCCCCAGCACTCCTACACTGCACCCCCCACAGAAATAGATGCAAAATGACTGCAAACAACAGAAACACTATTGTTTTGTGTCTCTGTAGCATTTTTGTTATGTTGTGGTTGTTTCCCCCAGTGGGTCAGATGAACCTCCTGACGGCCCGGGGCCACGCCTTGTTACTGTGCCCCCTTTGAACCTCACTGTACATGCCAGTTATACCTGCAGGTACCTCAAACTGAGCTGAAACCGCTGCTGCTAATGGCTTCAAAACAAGACCAATGAGATCCTCCAGGATCGATGTTAGGCCCACTGCTGTTTAGCCTGTATATAAATGCCATTTATTTTCCAACTCAGCACTGCAGCATCCATGTTTATGCTCACCATACCAACGTGTATGCCATCAGCTTGCCACAAACCAGCTGGGCTGGCTCCAGACCACAGGTTGCTGCTGATGACTTGTGTGCATTTCACCAGCTGGAGACACCGATGCTCCCATCCATGCTCTAAATGGAGATGCTACTGATACAGTCCAGCATTATAGATACCTAGGAATTGGGCAACTAAAAAGCATCATCACACCCATATGCCCGTCTTCAAGATATTTAACATCCATGAGCTCATAACCATGAGTCCAGGCAACACTGGCTTTGAAATGCCAGCTCTGCACTGGGGAAGACTGGTTTCCTGTAACACCTCATCACTGGAATGAGCTGTGACACAGCTTGAGGTTTGAAGTGCTCCTTCCTCTGAGGTTTAAAAACTTACATTTTTTTCAAGTTGTAATTGTTTTAATTAGTGTTGCTAACGAACCAACCACCGGTACTGTAGCGCTGACATGGTAGTTCATCAGTTGATCAGCTGACTGGCAAAAATTTAATGGCAATACAGTTTTGCTAACTTCTCAGAAATACCACATAAAACCCAGGGGAGCCAAATACTTCCTAGTTTTCTCTGATAGTAAACTAAAAATCTAATTTGTGATTGATGCTCAGACCAAACAAAGAAGCCAGAATATGTTAACTTACAGGAAATAATGATGGCATATTTCACTATTTTCTGATGTTTTATTCACCAAACAATCAAAGAAAACAGTGATACATAAAAATACTGGAATCTAGCTGTGGTCTGCAGCTCTTCAGCTCTGTTCTGATGGAATTATACTGCACTGATGTAAATTTTTAGACAAACGTCTTCTTCCAAAAACTCCAGTTTGAACGAATGAAACCTACAGTAACATGAATATTGTCTTAATCATGTAGACAACAGTGCAGAATCCTGGTTCAGTTCATTTATTCAGTTTTGTCTTTCCAGCTGTTTTTTTTAAGGATGTGTCGTAATAGAGAGGTTTGAGCGACTTCACACTGTCACTGTGGCTTTGTCAGATGTGATGAAGCCCCTCAGCTTTTTATTTCCTTTCAGAGCACCACCCTCACTGGCAGTACACCAGTCTGGACCTAAGTGAACAGAAGGCCTTTATCACAGAGTTGGGACATGACTCCAATGGGAGAAACATCTGAGTCACTTGTTATAAACCGAAGAGCACATCAGGACTTTTAACGCATCACCCTGGTGGGAGCAAACGGCTTTGAAAATCCTCACAAGCCGCCTGCAGCACTTTTCACCTTCCTGCAGAATCTGACAGCGGCGACTGTAGCACTGTGAGGATGCTGATTTAATTACAAGGTTTGTTGTGCATTACAAACAGCCAAATGTGTGAACTTATTTTAACCTTAAACTCTAAATAAATATGAACATGTGTTCACCTGTAACTCACAACACATTTTTGGAAACATGTTATTTAACCCATATAATTACACAAAATAATTCCACCATCATTACCGGCTGAACGTAACTGGATCAGTTCTTTGAGTTAATCACCAAATATTTTCATGTGATCATATTTTATCAGGGAATATTCACCATTTCCAAAATTAAATTATTTGTTGTTTTTGCCTTGTTCTAAATGGTTTCACCATTTAATGTCTTGGATCACTATCACTGTTTTCTGGCAGATGTATTGATGCTTTCCTGCTGCTGCTGCAGGCTCAAGCTGAAAATTCTGTTCTAATTTACTGAAGAGCTCAAAGTGCGATGGTGGTCACAGGTTTGGGTCAAACACATTTAGAAACAGACCATAAAACAGAAAACTACATTTTCTTTCTTTCACCTTTTAAAACATTTGAAACAAAGTGAGTAAAGTCATTTTGTCCCGTTTATACCTGAAAGGTTGACATTTTGGAGAGAGAAGATTTTTACCTGCCAAGAAGCATTTTTATTTTCTGTTGAATGTAAAATGGGAATCTACAAAGAAACCACAATACATTCAAACTGCAGTAGATATCCCCGTGTGTGCGCAGGGGGAAAAACGGGCCTCTTCACTGCTTCGCCGGCTTTTTTCCAGGAAGGTATTTTAATGGATGTGGATCAGCAGACAGAGTGCAGGGCATAAAAAGCCCAATGTTCATGCTTTCAGCCCAAAAACTAAACATATAAACACGGAAATGTTTTGTTTTTCAGACAGTTGGCGCATGCAGCAGTACAAATGCACAGACAGGCCATTTTAAACACCACAGCTTAAACAAAAACTGAACTTTAAATTAAACCAACATGGCTCCGGCTACTGAATCAGAACATCTATTTTTTTAAAAAGTGCATCAGAGACAGTAAATCTTTGCATTCGTGCTCAGACATCTCCAGTGTTTTAAAATGTGCAGAACCTCTGACATAAATATATGATTTTAAGTTCCTCTTCTCATCTCTGCAATTGTTCACATTATTTAAAAAAAATTCAAAAAGAACAAACGTTGAGTAGTTATTTGGTTTGCCAAATATCTGTTTGGATTTTGTTTTAGTTTTTTATGAAAAACACTGCAAGTGCAAAATGAACTTCCTTTTGTGTGTAACTTTTGTTTGCGGAGCAGAAAAGAAACAGCAGCGAAGCCTCACAGGGAATTTAAACAACAGTTTAAAAAGTCATTAATCTGAGACTTTTCTGTCAGTTTGAGAAGAAAAGGCTGCAAACACAAAAGCTCTGGGTAATCTGTCACGACGCGACCGTTAATGTCCTCTGTGAAGGAACCTGGAGAGAAGTGTGAAACCGAAATGTTTTATTTTAGCTTCTGATATAAATCTTGGAATAAAACGGATTCATGTGAAATACTTCATGTTTTCTTGATAATAAATCTATCTTTGTTGTTCACAAGAGGTCAAAGGTCAGGCTGCTGCTTCTTTACATGGAAAAGTCAGGGACCAATCTGTTCAGGAAAAAGGAAACTAAATTTAAATGACGCACACCTTCTCAGTTTCTCACTTTGGGTCCTGGAGATGAAACACTGCTTTGGAGTTGAACAAGTCTGTGATTTTCCATTCTTCACAGATTTTATTTTTAACAAAAAGAGAATAAAGTCAGATTCCCGTCAGTGCACCGCAACGGTGGATTGCAGCGCCGCGGAGGCCGAGGAAGGCAGCGCCTCGCCGGGCGCGGCCGGACTGCTTTGACCGGTGGCTGTCTGCGGGGAGGTGGGGCTCAGAGACTGAGGTGAGTTCGCGAGGAAAGCTGGGATGTGTGTGGGAAGCCCGTGAAGGCCCGGCACCGAGGCGGGCGTGGGTTTGATGGGCACTGGGATGGCAGGCAGAGTCTGTCCACCGTGACAGATGGACTTGAGTGGCATGCCATAGGCCGAGTAGTCGCTGGCGGCCATGGAGATGGGCGCAGCGCTGTCCATCATCCCGGAGCCGTACATGTGCGGCCAGGCCGGGGCCAGCTGGTTGTGGAGCGTGTACCCGGTGGTGGAGAAGGCCGCCAGCCCACCCGGCATCTTGTACTCCCTGGCGATGATGTTCTCGATGGCGAACGGGTGTTTGAAGCCGGACGGCTGAGACACAGAGGTCAGGTTGTATCCGGCCGGCATCTGCGGGAGATGCGCGGCTGCGTGCAGCGCGCTGAGCAGCAGCTTGGCCCGCGTTGCGTCCTGCGGCTTGCTGGGCACCAGCGGGTCCGTGGCCTGCATGCTGCCTACTTTAAAACGCTTCCTGCGCCGCAGAAAACTCCCGTTCTCAAACATGTCGCCGCAGTTCGGGTGCAGGGCCCAGAAACTGCCCTTTCCGGGCTGGTCCGGTCTGCGGGGGATTTTGATGAAGCAGTCGTTGAAGGAGAGGTTGTGCCGCAGGGAGTTCTGCCACCGCTGCGTGTTCTCCCGGTAGTACGGGAAGCGGTCCATGATGAACTTGTAAATCTCACTGAGGGGCAGCATCTTCTCCGGGCAGCTCTGGATGGCCATGGCCGTAAGGGAGATGTAGGAGTAGGGAGGCTTTTGGTCGCTGTACGTGTTCCTCCCCGGGCGAGGCATTATTCTGCTGAATCAGTTCAGGCAGAGGGCAGAAATGACTCGCCTCACTTTTTCCAAACTTTGTCCAAACACTTAAAAGTCTTTAAATCACCTTCACTCAGGAAAGGAAGCTGGCCTGGTGCTTGGCACGCATGGTCCCGTGTTTGACTCCCCAGACAAGTTGAAGAAAAGTGGAAAAATGGCCGCGGTTCCTCCTCTGCTCCCGCCGGCCTGCTGCGGGTTCCCGGCAGGTGCAGCGCGCTGTCCCGTCCTCCTCCTTCACCGCTGCTGAGCTGCGCTAAGCGGCTGCTGTTGCCTCGTCCATGTCCCGTTCCTATCCCGTCTGTGGGCTGGACGCCGTGACAGGAGCAGAAAAGACCCCCGGAGAGGAGCTTCGTTAATGGGCCACTTCTTCACCATCACATGATCACAGCCAGGAGGAGGAGGGATGGAGGGAGGGGGCTCAGGGGGAAACGGGTGAACAGTGTGGTTTCATTTACACTTATTTACATGGACGCACTAAGCCAACACAAGTCATTTTCACGTGAAGTCGCAGGCGGCAAAAAGAGCCGAGAAAAGAATGCTCGTGATGCTCGGTGATGTCTGTGGCGGAGCTGCGCTGCGCTCTGTAGAGGTATGCCGGCGTGTTTGGCAACATTTTACGCACAACGTGGACGTGTCTGTGTGTGTGTGTGTGTGGGTGGGTGGGGGTGGGGGATGTGGAGGGTGTTGGGTGCCCCTCGCCAATTTGCACTGACAAATAGAGCCACTGAGAGCTGCTGTTTGAGCGGCTCTAATGTCCATTTGTTTTGTTTTGGGTGGTGTGGGGGTTTCTTCACAGCGCAGATGTGAAACTGCTGCGTTCAATCCGAGCGCAGCTGGAACGTTGTACAGGACACAACGTGGAACAATAATTTAAAAACACCTTCGTTATCTCTTGGTTTGTGGCTCCAAATTAACGGCCCCTAATTGGACTTCATCACCGTGGAACAAACGCCCGAAGTCTCGGTTGTCTCCTCGTTTTAGCGCAAGAATGAATCGTCCCTCTAATCCGCCAGTTTATCAGACGTGTGGTTTTTAAGACGCATCTATAACTTTAATTCGCCTCTGACCGCTGACCTCTGTATAAAGGCGAAGTGGAGGAGATCGTATGAAGCGTTTCAGGTTTTATTTAAAGACCAAAATCCTGCTGCTTCTCGTTGCTGAAACGTCTTTTCGGGCTCTGACGTCTCATTAATGATCAGAACGAACTGCAGCTTCAGTTTCATCGCTTTTCTTCAGTCCAAACATTTAGGACTAATTACTGTCCCTGTGCCGGTTTATTCGTTTCTTTATTAATTGAATTCGAAAAGAAAAAATGAAGTTTTTACAAATATAAACTTAAAATTTTCTTCAGCGCGAAATTATTTTTATCAACTTTGTCTAGATTTTTTTTTGTGGAGAAATGAAAATAAAATTATCGACAGTTTCCAGCAGACGTGGTTCGTTGGTCCACAGCACAAAATAATAATAATAATGATAATTTCATGCTCATCTTTATTTGTAGTAGTAGCAGTAGTTTTATTGTCTTATTATTATTATGTAGACAAAAATCTAAGCCTTAGGAGGCCACTGTAATTATCAAGCTATTATCACCATAACAACACTACCACTAATTATAGCAATAATAATATACTTCTGTTAATCTGTGTAGCAGAATTTATTTATTTGAGTAATGATCATTTAAATCAATTATGTGTTAGAGTCTTTAATTGGTTGACTAATTGATTTTATGGGACAATCAAAAATCAATCAAAGGTGAGGCCCAGGTTTCTGTGGCTGAAGGCAGCGCGTTTCCGGTCCCGACTGGACCAGCTGGAGCTGGTGGTGGTGGTGGTGGGGAAGGGGGAAGGGAAGAGGAGAGAGAAGTCCAGACTTCATCAGTCAGACGGTGGTTTATTTTTATTTTTATTATCACCATTATTTATTATTATTCAGTGTGTTGTTACATTTATTATTCAAGTGCTTGAAAGTGATTTTGTTGGGTTTGGTTTTTATTGTTGCTTCATTCAAAATCTGAACATAAATAATCAGCCTTTGTTTCGATTCCTTTCTACTGTTCCTACCAAACTTGATTTTTTTCAGTCTGTTACTAAAAATAATTTAAAAAACTAAATTCAGAATTTGACCAATTTCTTCCTCATTATTTTAAAAGTGTTTAAAAAATTATTTATTTCTTAGTTTTTCTTTACAGATTTACAGTTTATCAAACTTAATTTTCATTATTTATTCACAACATCCATTTCGTAGGTGAAGTTTTGTGTAGAATTTGTTTCTGATCATTATTAGATTATTGTTTCTGTATCTTTATTTTACATAATTTGTTCAGTTTATTATATTACCATTATTATATTGGTAGAGTTTAAATGAATAGTGCCAGTCACAGTATTGTTATTGATGAATTATCAGAGACTGTGTTTGCGTAGTTTCTGAAATAAGATTCATGGATCATGTAAATATTGGCTGATGAAAATGCAAAGCTCAACATTTAAAGCCTCTGGGTCTCCTGTCAGAATTTAGTGAATGGTTACACGACAGCCAATCAGAGAGCAGGAAAATCATGCTTTAATTCATTTCATTATTATT